GGCAAGGGGACCACAGGCCGGGGGCTGACGTGCTCCCTGCCATAGAATCACTTTGGTTGGAAAAGACCTTTAAGATCATCGAGTCCAACCTTTAACCTAACCCTGCCATCCCACCACTACACCATGCCCTCACCCAGGAGAACAAGGTGAAGTTCGCCCTCTACCTGGAGAAGGAGTATGAAGTGAAGATCAACCCTTCCTCCATGTTCGACGTGCACGTGAAGAGGATCCACGAGTACAAGCGGCAGCTGCTGAACTGCCTGCACGTCATCACCATGTACAACCGTAAGGCACCGCGCGCCCCGAGGGGACGGGCTGCCCTGGGCTCCATGACCGTCCCTATCCCCCCGGGGCTGCAGCTCAAACAGAGGGTGACACCACGCTGCTGTCTTCTCCAGGCATCAGGAGGGATCCCGCAGAGCTGTTTGTGCCGAGGACGGTGATCATTGGGGGCAAGGTGAGTTGGGTCAGGAGTTTTAGGCGTTTCGGAGGGAGTCCTTGAAAATGCCTTAGGGGATTTGGGGGCAGATGTTCTCATGGGGTTGCATCCCCGAAGCCCTCTGGAAAGCCCTGAGGCAGCACTTGCTGGCTTCAACCCAAGCAAGGTTCTGCTGCCTATGGTCATGCAAGCCCCCAAAAACTGGGGGCCACCACGCATGAGTTGGAGGAGGGATGGGAGCAGGGCTGAGTGGGTGCTTCCCTGGGCTCACCCGTGGCTTTTCTCCTAGGCTGCCCCAGGATATCACATGGCTAAAATGATCATCAAGCTCATTAATGCTGTGGCTCAGGTGGTGAACAATGACCCCGTTGTGGGGAGCAAGCTGAAGGTCATCTTCCTGGAGAACTACAGGGTCTCGCTGGCTGAGAAAGGTAGCCTACGGGGGGCATGCTGTGGGGATGGGATGTCCACCCCATTGCTGTCCACCAGCCCGTGGGTCCATCACTGCGAGACAGCAGATATAACGTCCTTCAGCACAATACAGACCCAAAGCTGGTCACCATGAGCCGCTTGTGTCCATGTGTTTTGTTGGCAGTGATCCCTGCTACCGACCTGTCGGAGCAGATCTCCACGGCGGGCACTGAGGCATCGGGTACGGGGAACATGAAGTTCATGCTGAACGGGGCTCTGACCATCGGCACCATGGATGGAGCCAACGTGGAAATGGCCGAGGAGGCTGGAGAGGAAAACCTGTTCATCTTCGGCATGAGGGTGGAGGATGTCACGGAGCTGGACAGGGAAGGGTGAGGGCTGGGGACGATGCGGGGGTGCTACCACGGGCAGCTGGAGCAGCACCACCTCATACCAACCCTTCCCTGCCAGGTACAACGCCCAGGAGTACTACGACCGGCTCCCCGAGTTGAAGCAAGCCATTGACCAGATCAAGAGCGGCTTCTACTCCCCAAATGAGCCAGACCTCTTCAAAGACGTGGTCAACATGCTCTTCCACCACGACCGGTGAGGCCTGGGAGGTCATCCATCCCCTGGGTTGGGTTTCTCCACCGAACTCCCGGTACCCGGGCTTTCCTGGCCAGAGCACTAAGCTGCCAACAGCCGTGGGCATTTGCACCGGGGAAATGTTTTCCGGGTGAGCTGACACAGGGTGTCCCCTCCTGGGCCACCCACAGGCTTGCAGGGCTCTCTACAAACAGGGCTTGGGGAGACCAAATTCATCTGAAGCTTTCATATTTGAGGAGACCCCAGACCTGGCAGCCCGAG